AAGCTGTAATTAAATCTTTTTTTACCCACCCTCATCCCCAGCAGGAAGTTATTCTTGGTGCTCAGCGAGGGGGAAGGAGGGGCGGGATGTGAGCAAAACGGCTGCTTTTGACCTCATGGCCTTCCTGGCGATTGGGTGGAGAGGTTTTTAAAGATTGAGGAAGAGATTTCCTTGAGCATCTTCTGAAAATAGAGACTGGGGCCTCTAGTTTGGCTCCTTCTGGACTCAACTGCTACTTTTGGGACAGAGAGAAGGCCAAAGCCCCATCCTGGGCACTCGATGGCTAATCCCGTCGACTGCAGCTTCCCTGGCGCCTTCCTGTGGACATGGGTTGGGGTTGGATGGGGACAGGGTACTGGGGAGGCGAGTGGGGCAATTCCTCCAGGGTGGGCGGAGGCAGGGGTGGGCTGTGGCCAGCGAGGGTCTTGCGTTTTCCAAATTGGTGGCTTTCGTTTGGGCTGAGCAGGCCTTGGAAACCCGCTTCAGCATCAGCACCTCCTCCTCCTCTTCCGCTGGGGTCAGACAAGGGCCCAGGCCCCAAGCCTGCAGATGCTGAGGAGAGCAGAACATTAGCAGCGTCATCAGGGCTTCCTTCCGGTTTCTTCCAAGGGCCCTTGGGAGGAGCCCCGTTCCTCCTCCTGCATCCCCCTGTGCGTTCTCCACTCTATCAATTCCTCAGCACTCTCCTCTTTCCCCCAAAACTAGAGTCAGGGCCAAGGAAGTGTAGCCAAGAGGACGACTTGGTTTGGTCTCCTGCGGAAAAGATTCCAGCATCTCCCATTCAACAAAAGCCAAAGTCTACAAGAAATAGGACGTGAGGTTTCAGTTCTTGGAACAGGGACTGCAAACCCTTCACCTTCAAGAAGAAAAATTACCAGACATGAAGGGAGCTACCTCTGAGGCGAAGACTCAGGATCCCATTCTGCTCCAGGTACTCTTTGGGGCTGCATTCTCTTTCACTTGCGTTTTTTAAAAAATAAAAAGCCAATCTCCATTTCATCAGGATCATCTGTCCCCTTCAGTTTTCTTCCTTTTTAAGCTCCCGCTCCCCATCCCCACCACCTGTGGAGCCAGCTGGATACTGCAGCATTTCCCACGCAAGTACCTGCAATTTCCTTCTCACAATCATAGGGGGTTCATAGGTGGTCACACTGACTGTGGCAGTACATTGTGACACCGCTGGCACCTCAGAGGTGGATGAATGGCAGGGGGAGGGGAGGAGGGAAGAGAGTTCCGGCAGGCCCTTCTCCTGGTGGATGGTGGCCACAGGGGATGGTGGCCTTCTCCTGGTGGATGGTGGCTGTGGCTGTCCAGCCCTGTTCTTACATCCATAGTGCCTCCCCTGTCACTCTCTACATCAATCACTCCCCAGCCCTGCTCTCTCATCCCCTTTAGTATCTCGCTTTGTCCCCTTCTAAATGTTGCCTGCCCCCACCACCTTTGCAAGGCCACCCAGACATCTGCCATCACCTTCCCATTGCTCTTCCCGCCTGTTCTCTTGCTCCTTAACTACACCCCGCAGTGAGGCCACAGTGATTTTTCTAAACTTCACTGTGGCTGTGCCATCCCCTGTTCGGAGCTCTCCAGCAGTTTCCATAGCCTTCAGGACTATGTCCAAGAGGCTCAGGGGGACTCTGCTGAGAGCTGCCGGAATTTGGCCCCAGCTCATGGCTCCTCATCTTCTGCCATCTCCAGTTCTTGCACTGGATTCCCGCTTTTCCCCATCAGACTGTGCTGTCAGACGTGCCTCCGGATCTCTGCACAAGACCCTCCTGTTGCCAGGACACCCCTCCTTTCCAATATGTGTGGTGTGAGTGTGTGCACTAGTACACATGCATGGTATCATGCACATCCTGTCTAAAGCCCATGTGTGCATACATGTGTCCTATGTAAAGCCTATATGTGCATACATGTGTCCTAGCTAAAGCCTATGCATGCATACATGTCTCCTATCTAATGCCTTTGCATGCATACTTGTGTCCTATCTAATGCCTTTGCATGCGTACATGCATCCTATCTAAAGCCTATGCATGCATACATGCGTCCTATCTAAAGTCTATGCATGCATACATGTGTCCTATCTAAAGTCTATGCATGCATACATGCGTCCTATCTAAAGCCTATGCACGCATACATGCGTCCTATCTAAAGCCTATGCACGCATACATGCGTCCTATCTAAAGCCTATGCACGCATACATGCGTCCTATCTAATGCCTTTGCACGCATACATGCGTCCTATCTAAAGCCTATGCACGCATACATGCGTCCTATGTAAAGCCTATGCACGCATACATGTGTCCTATCTAAAGCCTATGCATGCATACATGTGTCCTATCTAAAGCCTATGCATGCATACACGTGTCCTATCTAATGCCTTTGCATGCATACACGTGTCCTATCTAAAGCGTGTGCATGTATACACGCGTCCTATCTAAAGCCTATGCATGCATACATGTGTCCTATCTAAAGCCTATGCATGCATACATGTGTCCTATCTAAAGCCTATGCATGCATACATGTGTCCTATCTAATGCCTTTGCATGCATACATGTGTCCTATCTAAAGCCTGTGCATGTATACACGCACACACCCGCATTCTATCTAAAACTCATGCATGCATACACGTGCAATGCACCCATGTGTCCTATCTAAAGCCTATGTGTGCATACATGTGCACACACACATCTTTTCTGAAGTCCACACACGGTTTGATGCCCTTCAAGGATTGCAGTTTTTCAGGAAGAATTTCCTCATAGGTCTCCCCCATCCCACCTTAGACACACATTCAATTTGGGTGTTCCTTGGCCTCTCTATAGTTTTTGCTGCTGTTGTCTAATTTCTCTTTCATAAGAACCCTCACCTGTGTTATTTTGTATTGTGATTGCCTCCCTCATGCCCATTCTTTCTATCTTTTGGTAATAAGGTAACTCTTGTACCCTGCTTTTACTTGAGGAATCTACTCCTCTGTTTATGTGCTTTGTGGAAAATCAACTCTATCCTGAGCTCCAAGTCTGGGGAAAATGGCTTTGGCATAAGAAGTAAGAGCCACAGAAATTGGTTGAGGGGTGACGATGTTACCAAATTCAAGACAATCAGTTTGGGAAAAAATTTATTGGCAGTTTCTAGGTAAGATGTTTCCTTGATGTACTGGGAGGTCTCTGGGTATGATGGCCTGTTCCCCCTGAATTTGGAGGGGGAAGTAAGAAACCTGGGTGTTTTGGCTACTGGCATTATAATAAAGCTAATCCTGCAGAAGGCAGAGCTGAAGGACAGAGAGAAACTGGATCCTTGATGCCATTGGTAGAGCGGTTGAATCAAACTGAACCTGAAGCCAGATCTGGCCATGTGTTTCCAGTCACATGTCCCTGTAAATCACTTTTACTATTTAGGTCAGTTTGAATTGGCTTTGTTGTTACATGCAGAGAAGTCCTAATGCACTCTCTTTTTCTGCCCTGATTTTTTCTTCTCTCTCTTATTGTTCCTTTCCCCTTCCCTTTCTGTTAAATGAGGGTGTGCCTCTGTGACTTATCCTTGTTGTCATTTACAAACTGGGTGACCTCATTTATGACTGCAGTTTGCCATTGTCTTCCAAATCTGTAAAGTTCAAGGTCTAGGCAGGAATACCTAACAGTTTTTTTTCTTTCTTTCTTTTTTTTTTTTTTTTTGAGACAGGGTCTCACTTTGTCACTCAGGCTGGAGTACAGTGTTGTGATCATGGTTCGCTGCAGCCTCAATCTCCTGTCCCATCTCAGCCTTCTGAGTGGCTGGGACCACAGGTGTGCGCCATTATGTCTAGCTAATTTTTTATTTTTTGTGTGAGTGGGGTTTCACCATGTTGCCTAGGGTGGTCTCTAACTCCTGGGCTCAAGCAATCCTCCCACCTCTGCCTCTCAAAGTACTGGGATTACAGGGGCGAACCACCATGCCCAGCCCTCTAACAGCTTTCTAGCATCTCTTAGTCATCCCACAAAAAAACCCCAAGAAACTCACCCTGCAGTGGCGTCCTTGTCTGTGAGGGCAGCAGCCTGAGCTGAGCCTCCCCTGTAGGGGGACACTGTAAAGTATCTAAGACCTTCCTGGGGTGCTCCCCCATGCCTAGGGTCACTGCAGGAGATGATTCCAAGGAGTGACTTTCCTCTCCAGGTTGAGGCGGAAGGGAGCGGCAGTGAGGACCCTGGAGGTCACCCCGGTAGCAGCTGCAGGTGTGAAGAGGAACCAGGCAGGAGTTATTGTCCTCACTACCAGGTTCACTGAGGCAGTGAAGACCACTTTGATCCCTAGAATTCCCCAGAAAATGCTTTTTGCTGGGGATACAGGGAAACTTCTAGGCTATTAGGGGTGCGAGGAAGGAGAGTAGAGACAAGTGCTTTAGGAGGAGAGAAGCTCTGTTTGTCCTCTCTGCCCCTCCCCTATTCAAGGGCCTGGTGCTGCCTCCCTCATGAGGCCTTCCCTGACCACCAGCTGCCCCTCCCCCTGGCCACTGTCACTCCCTTTGGTTTGGGGGAGTGGGCCACTCCCTTTCTCTTTTAGGCAGGTCTGGAGGCCTGCGTGCTTGAGGCTTCCACATGCTTATGGGTTCAAAGCGGGAATGTAGGTGTGGGGGAGCCTGGCTCTGATCAGCTGATCCAAGGGCAGCCGCGGCTGGCAAGAGGGCACCAGTTTTGAATTATGAGTTCTGAATGATGATGGAAACTACTGATAATAACAACCACATGATGAGGACTCACCGTGATGCCTAATCCTCTCTCCAGCAGGCCGTCTTAATGAGGTTGCGTTCTGTGGGGAGGGCGGGATTTTGAATGAGTGTCTGAGAGCCCCCACCTCCAGCTCCTCCTCCCACTCCTGCAGTCGGACGTGGCAGGAGACTTCTCAGTGCGGCTTCAACCTCAGCGGCAGCATGCTCAGAGGGCCTGGGGGAGGGGAGGCAGGAGGCAGAGCTCTGACACTCTGCAGTAGTACCACCCTTTCCTGTGCTCCCACCCACTGTGCAGGGGAGGCCTTGCTTTCTGGTCGCCAGGGAAGCAAGGAGGCATCAACCCAGGACAGCAAGGGCAGGAAGGAGCCTGGGAGAAACAGAAGTCAACAAGCAGCAGGTCAGGAGCCTTGTGGAGCAGCCTCTGTCTGCCCGGCAGCCACAGATGTGGCCTCAGTGACCGCCCAGGGCCTCTCCCCACTCCAGCGGCTGCTGTGCTCCTGCCAAGGGCCCACGGGGGCAGCAGCTGTGTGTCATCCCTGCCCTTCCTCCTCCTCCCTCCTTGTCTCCCTCCTCCCTGCCTCCTTCCTGCCTTCACCATCTCTAAGCACCTACCCTTCATCTCCATGGAAGAAAGCTCATAGAATGACTATTTCCAGGGACATTTGAATTTTATGAGTGCTTCTCAAGCCCCAAAGGCAAAGGTAATGAAATCATATTGGTGGAATCTGAGAGGCTGTTTTGGAGGGGACTAGAAGACAGGAGGGCCTCCTAGGCTCCATTCTGAATAGACATGCCTGGATCATCCCTCTCTCCTCCTTCCCCATTTCTCTTCCAGGGGTTTCCCTGGGCTAGGCCCTGGGCTTGACACTGGGATGCAAAGGAACTGAGTCCTGGCCTGAAGGAAGGCCTTGCTTCTGCCAACCCTGCAGAAAGTGCTGCTTTTCCCAGAGAGGCAGCAGGGCTCCTGCTGGAGGTGGCGTTGGGAGTGAATTCTCTGCTCTCTTGTGGTCTCTCTGATGAGCTCCTTCTGGAGTCGGTTCAACCCTGGTGAACTGGGGGTTCCCAGTCCCAGTTTCCTTAGAGTCAGCTTTGTCAGGGCTCTGGTGACTGTGGAAGGATTTGTGACTGGAGGCTGAGTCCAGGGCCTGGTGTAAGTGTGGTGAGGCTCCTGTGCACGCTCAGAGCTGGGGACAGGGGACCTCTGATGTCCTCCCTAAGACACAGTGAGACCCAGAAGCTCTCAGCTCTGTGCTACCCTGGTTTTGGTGACTTGGAAAAGGCTGGTGAGGGGTAAAAAACAGAGAGTCTGGCCTGGCCCCGCGCAGGTTCCCTAAGCAGCTGCAGGCTGTGGCCTCCTGTGCTCTGTGGGCCTGAATACAGCCCGTGAAGTGAAACCTCAATCCCAGGACAGCTCTGCCAGCACTCACCAGCCCCTGCACACAGTCCCACAAGGAGATCCTGCTCTGTCCTCATCCTGTCCCTGAACACCCTTCCTCTCTGTGGCCCACAGGACTGGCTACATAATTTGCTAAGCCCAGTACAAAATGAACACGTAAGATTCCTCCTTAAAAAATTAAGGATCTCAAGATAGCAACAGCAGAGCATTAAACCAAGTGTGGGGCCCTTCCGAGTGCCACAGAGCCAGCTCTGGCTGCCCAACATTTACTTCTCAAAGAGGGACTTTGGAAACATCACGGGAACAACTCTAAATGGGAATTTTCAGGCCCTGGTGACAGGGGGCAGAGAAGTTAGGCCCACCTGATACTCTCAAATTGCACCCTGGAGACTAGGGACCACCTATACCAGTTCCCACCATAAAAGGTAGCTTCCTTTGCTTTTCCTCTTTCCTGTATTCTGCTGTGGGTATTACTCCTGTATTTCATGTCAGGGGTGCAAGGAAGGGGTGTGTGTGTGTGTGTGTGTGTGTGAGAGAGAGAGAGAGAGAGAGAGGAGCAGGTGGAGGAGGAAGGATGGGATGGAGTTTGGTTTTCTATTAACCTCTGCCCCACTGCTATTCCTTCGGGGGGTGTTGTGTGCAGTTCTTGTTGTTCCGGTGACCTGCAGCTCCAGGTACAGTCTCTTTCCTGCTTTCTCCTCTCCAGGGTGGACCCTGCTCATCCTCCCAGCTGCTTGGAAGGGAAGATAAACACTGCAGAGTACAGAAGCGCTCATGCTGAGAGCAGAGAAAGAGGTTTAATGGGCTTGTTATCAGGCACCTGCTGAGCAGTCCTTCTCCCAAGAAGACAGGACTGAGAGATAAATGACCTGGCCCCAGCAGCCTCCTGGTGGGAAGAGAAATGCCTGGAACAGGAAGGGGTGAATCCATAGACCAGGCCGGTCATAGGGGCAGGCGAAGATTTGCGGGGAGAAAAGCAGCCCTCCCTCTGCACAGTTGTCAACCATCCAAGGTACCAATCAATATAGAAATATTTGTTGCAGGTCTCCTGGGCTCCCAGTGTTGCAGAGAATGCAGAGAGGCACCCATCTGGTCCCTGCCTCCAATGAGCTCACCATCTAGTCGGGAGACCCGATCGACCTGACCTCACCTCCTTGAGGATTGGGGGTGCGGACTGTTCACCTGGCAGGGCCTGGTCCATGGATGAGACTGAAGAAAAACTGATCAACTGAATGAATTAAACTGAAACAGTGGTGGCAAGGAGTAGAAACAACGACCTCTTCAGAGTTCAGACAATAAGATTCAGAATGACAAAAGAGAGCATTCAGCTCTCTTTTTGAAGAGTCTCTTTAGCTCTCTTTGGTTGAAGGTGGGACACTGAAAAAAAAAAAAAAAAAAAAACCAGGCATGGTGGTGTGCGCCTATAATCCCAGCTACTTGGGAGGCTGAGGCACGAGAGAATTGCTTGAACCCCAGTGGTGGAGGTTGCAGTGAGCTGAGAGCCAAGATTATGCCATTGTGTTCCAGCCTGCGTGACAGAGTGAGACCTTGTTTCAAAAAAAAAAAAAAAAAAAAGGCCAGGCACGGTGGCTCACACCTGTAATCCTAGCACTTTGGGAGGCTGAGGTGGGCAGATCACTTGAGGTCAGGAGTTCGAGACCATCTTGGCCAACATGGTGAAACTCTGTCTCTACCAAAAAATACAAAAAACAAACAAACAAAAAACCTGGGCGTGGTGGCATGTGTCTGTAATCCCAGCTGTTCAGGAGGTTGAGGCATGAGCATTGCTTGAACCTAGGAGTCAGAGCAGTGAGCCGAGATCATGCCACTGCACCCCAGCCTGGGTGACAGAGTGAGACCTTATCTCAAAAAACAAACAACAAAAAAAGAAGAAAGTGGGACACTATTAAAGAGAGATTTCGAGTTGCATCTTGAGGATTTGGATTGTGAGGAGCGGGAGAGAGCAGAGTGTCAGGCAATGCAGGGTAGAGACTGAACGCTGACGTGTTGGTGTTAGGATGACATGGTTTCCCATGCTGGCTCACCTTTGAATAGCTGTGTGGCTGGGTGTAGGTTACTTAACCTTTCTAAACTCCATTTTTCCATATGTAAGATGGGGACGAATAGTACCTACTTCATAGGATTGTTATAAGGCTTACCTAAAATATCCTCTGTAGGGAAAACAGAGTTTTGCTGAAAATCCAACTCATAAAAGGCAGATTACCTAGAGAAAAGGCATACAAATTTATTTAATGTGTGTACAGGGGAGCTTTCAGAATGACGACCCATGGATACAGGGCTAATTGTCCATTTTTATGCTCAGGTTCAATGAAGTGTGGACAGCGGTGCAGAAACATGATGGACAAAAATAGGCTGATCTAATGCTGATAGATTAGTTATTATGAGTGGGAAAACCCAACAAAGCCTGTCTAGATTCTTCTTGGCCTCTCTGAGCAGCTTCTTTTCCATCTGGGAATGGAGCAGGACTTTCTCTAAAATGAAGGTCTTATGACCTACAGTCAAACAAGGTAGGTCAGATAATTTCTTTATGGCCAGTTTTTACATGGAAAGGTGAAGGGAAAGTTGGAGTAATGTTTTTGGGTTTTATGGCTGGTTTTGGGGAAAAGAGGTTCTGGTTTCTATGACCCGCTCTAGTTTCTATAGCTAGGTTTGGGGGTAGAATGGACTAAGTAAGAGACAGGAGAGCGGGAGAAGATCAGAGAAAAACTTTTGCTTTTCAGGTCTTTGTTTTGGGGTATTGTTTTCTGAGTCCCAACACCTCCATAAAGCACTTAGCATGGTGCCTGGCATATAGTAGATGTTCAATAAAGGGTGACATCTTTTATTATTAACTACAAAGACATAAGGCAGGAAAGCTCAATAGGTTTGAGTAAAAGACAATGGTTTCTGCTTCACTAGAGAAAAAAGGAGTTTAGGAAAAAGAAGGCTTTACATTTTATGATGGGGCTAGACTGGTCTTGAAGGCCAGGTTTGGAAAATGAGGTTTTGTGGAAGAGGAGATAACAAGACTTAAGTCACTCTTGGGGATCTTGGAGGGTTATTCCTTTTCTTGTAACTAGTTCTGTCAAGTCATTCTCGCATTGGTATTAGAATATATATAGCGTCTCTCTGTGTGCACTGTACACTTTCTTCCAATTTTTAAAATTTTCAGATGTCATGAATGTCATCTAAATTTGTAAATAACCAGGAAATCTTTGGGCCGCATGAGCGAAGGGATTATTAGAAATGGAAAAAAAAAAAAAAAAAAAAAAGGCTGGGTGCGGTGGCTCACACATGCAATCCCAGCACTTTGGGAGGCTGAGGTGGGCGGATCACCTGAGGTCAGGAGTTCGAGACCAGCTTGGCCAACATGGTGAAACCTCGTCTCTACTAAAAATACAGAAATTAGCCTGGTGCGGTGGTGCTGCCTGTAATCCTAGCTACTTGGGAGACTGAGGCAGAAGAATCACTTGAACCCAGGAGGTGGAGTTTGCACAGTGAGCTGAGACTGCGCCACTGCACTCCAACCTGCGCAACAGAGCAAGACTGTCTAAAAAAAAAAAAAAAAGATCCTAGAAATTTTAAAAAATTATCTTGATTCAAGAGTTTGCCTGGATTTTGCTTTCAGTAAGGGTTAAGAAAGCATGAAAAGGCGTGCCATTCCCACTTCTGCTTCCCACTGGGGGATGCCTGGGGAGTCAGGGAGAGCCCCTTGCCATCCTCTGAGCTCTTTAGAGTTGTAATACTCAAGAAAGATACTTCTTTATGCAGGACCTTCACAGCAGGCCTCCTTTCTAGAAGGTGGCCTAGAAATAGACATTAAAATGTAAAATATGCAACTCCTTTGCCCAGGCATCTCTCTACTTCTGGGAATTTATCTTAAGAAAATAATCAAGAAGAATGTCTGTTTTTGACTTGTTTAAAATAGCAAAGACATGAAAACAGCTTAAATATCCATTTACATGGTATTGATTTTTAAAAATGGAAGTTTTGGGCTGGGTGCAGTGGCTCACGGCTGTAATCCCAGGACTTTGGGAGGCCGAGGCGGGCAGATCACAAGGTCAGAAGTTTGAGACCAGACTGAACAACATGGTGAAACCCTGTCTCTACTAAAAATACAAAAATTAGCTGGGTGTGGTGGGGAGGGGCGCCAGTAATCCCAGCAACCCAGGAGGCTGAGGCAGGAGAATAGCTTGAACCTGGGAGGCAGAGGTTGCAGTGAGCCAAGATCACGCCACTGCACTCTAGCCTGGGTGACACAGCAAGACTCTGCCTCAAAAATAAATAAATAAACAAACCAACAAATAAATAAAAAAAGGGGCCAGGCGCAGTGACTCACGCCTGTAATCCCAGCACTTTGGGAGGCCAAGGTGGGTGGATCACCTGAGGTCAGGGGTTCGAGACCAGCCTGGCCAGCATGGAGAAACCCCATCTCTACTAAAAAAATTAGTCGGGCGTGGTGGCGCATGCCTGTAATCACAGCTACTCGGAAGGCTGAGGTAGGAGAATTGCTTGAACCTGGGAGATAGAGGTTGCAGTGAGCCAAGATTGTGCCATTGCACTCCAGACTGGGCAAGAAGAGTGAAACTCCATCTCAAAAAAAAAAAAAAAAAAGGAAATTTTATTCAATGAAAATATTAAGTAAGCATTTATTAAAAATTATGGCTCAAATCTACATGTATAACCATCAACAGTTATCCTGTGAGAAGACTGTCAAAGTATAACGAGTGTTTCAGGACAGTATATTTGAATGACCAAATTCATGTATGTTACATTTATATTTACATACACATTAAAACTCAGGAAGGGTATAAACCAGCCTATTATAGTAGTGATATTTGGGAAAGGGATTATGAGCAGATATTAGGTGTTTACTTCAATATTTCTTTCTATATTATGTGAATTTTTAAATAGATCTGATATTTCAGATTTGAAAAAAAGTCCTTGCATCTTTTTTGTAGGCTTGAAAAAAAAATTAATAAATGGCTTGAAAAGTAGCTGATTTGAGAGTAAATAATGTGACAAGAGAGATACCAGAGAAGAGAAGGTGTCTGGATGATTGGCATAATTAATATCAATATGGATCGTAAGAAAATAATTATATTCACTGTACGGTATTTTTGAAGATTGCTTCTATCAAACCTACAACTTGTGAGTAAAGCTAAATGTGTAATATTCACACAAATGTTATGAGGATGATTCATGTTGCTCCTCCCTCTGGCTCCCTCTGGCTGCTTTAGGCTTGGGGGGTCCCCTGTGAAGTTGGAGCTGAGCGGGATCTAGGACTCAGACAGTGCTCACTGGCTCTGTCTGCCAGTGACACATTTCAAGAGGGCAGATCCCACAGTGAACTCAGTTGGCTGGTGGCTCCTGAGAAATGTGCCACTCCAGTCCTTTGCCAGGTTCTTGTCTTGGCACCAGCAGACACCTTGGCCCCATACCTCAACAAGCAGGTATTTAATTGGACACTTAGTACATGCCCCGCTGAGCTGAGGACATAGATCTGAAGGGAAAGAAGCATGGTTGGCCTCAAAGAGCCTGTAACTACCCACTTCTAGGGTGTGGGTAGAGCTGGCAATGTTAGAGCTGCAGTTCACATAGCAGGCTGCTGGCCAACCTGTCCATTACTGATTCAAGAGTGGTGAGGTGGGGGCAGCACTGGTGAGGATGATACCTATCCTAGAGATGATTAAGTTGGGATGACATGGTTTCCCATGCTGGCTCAACTTTGAATAGCTGTGTGGCTATCTCACTCCTTGGTGGAGGCACCGGAGCTGTGATTTCTGAGGCAAGGATGTGGTCCCACTGGGAATTGGAATGTCTGAGGTCGTTTGAGGCCGCGTGGTGACTAAAAGCAGGGGTGATGGAGACTGACCAGCTGGGGTTTGATTCCTGGCTCTGCTGTTTACGAACTGTGTGGTTTTGGGCAAGTGACATAAGCATTAAGCTCTAATTTCTTCACTTGTTGAAAGAAAAAAAAGGAATAACAACAGCATGAGGTCATATAAGTGAAGCACTTTGCATCAAATTTAGTCTGTTTAATAACTTTTTCATGTCAGCATCATTGTGCCTATTTTACAGAAAGGGAAACTGAAGCTTATGAAAAAGGTGATATCTAACTCCAAAGCTCAAGCTCTTGCTTCTACTTCTGTACTTCTACTTCAACCTCTATCCCAACTTCATTCTGACACCCACTCCTTCTCCTGTCTAGACCCCTGAACGTGTCTCCTGTCCCACCCCTCTACACTCCGTGCATGACTGTACAAGGCTGTAGTCTATACGACTATACCATCTTATTCAACCTGCTTTTACATTGTGTGTAAAAGACAAGCTTGAACTCTGGTGCCCTTGAACAGGGCATAATTAGGAGACTAGAGAGAAGTGTTGGGGGGAGTCCAAAAAGGAGAGTGAGAATAAAATGATGGCTTGAGAGCGATGACTTCTAAAAAACAGAGGAACAATAGCATGTGTGGCACTGAAGATTCAGGAGAAATGGAGGGGGGGAAAGGCTGTGTTTTCTGAATGGAATGGGAGCCTGGAGGACTGGATTCTGAGGAGCCTCCCATTACCTCGGCTTGGGAGAGAACGGGTAGGTGTGAAGTGGACAAGGAAAACCAGGTGTCCTGGAGCACCGTGCAGGTAAGGTGTGCCCTGAGAAGGGGAGTGCTCAGCAGACCAAGGACAGGTAGAGGCACTGACAGAAAGGGCACAAGGCTGGAGTCTAGTGACATCACATCCCCAGCATTGGAAGATCCTAAATTCTAGGGTCACACGGGGATATCTGCATGGGGAATAAGGTGTTATGAATGGATTACTTTTACATCTCAGACTTGTCAGGATTTTATTTCGGAGCTCGATTCTTCCATTTTCTTCTGTTTCTTCTGTCGTGTATTCATTTTCTCTGATGTCATGCAAGCGAGGACCTCTCTAGGAAAGGACTATACAAATTGGCTTCCTGTCCAGGGATTCATACATATATAGCCATTATTTTTTTAAAATAAAGATTGTTCAGAAAGTTTAAAAACACCTGCTCTTAAACTGGCCTGCATGTGTGGTTGAGGACAGTTCCCAGATGAAGGAGTCGTGCCGAAGGGGAGGATCATGGTGCAGGAAAGAGGCCTCTCGAAAATCAGTAGGCAGGGGATGGAGGTGAAAGGGTGCATCTCGGAGCCCTTGGCTTGACTGGAGGAGGGTTTTGCTGGGAAGGCAGGCATGGCTATGGGGTTTATAGAGGCTTAGGGTAGTGTTTGACTTCACCCCTTCTCACTGTGTGCTAGTGTGAGAGCCTCAATTTCCTCTTTAAGTAGAGATCATAGTAACTTATACAAAGCAACTGACCCATGGTTGGATGGAGACCAGCTACTCAACAAGAACAGGCTGGGCGCTGTGACTCACAATTGTAATGGCAGCACTTTGGGAGGCCAAGATAGGATGATCGCTCAAGCCCTGGAGTTCGAGACCAGCCTGGGCATTATAGTGAGACCCTTTCTCTACAAAACAATTGTTTTTTTTAAAGTAGTCAAGTGTAGTGGCGTGTGACTATAGTCCCAGTTAGTTGGGAGGCTGGGGTGAGAAGATCACTTAAGCCTGGGTGGTGGAGGCTGCAGTGAGTCACGATTGTGTCACTAGACTCTAGATTGAGTGACAGAGTGAGACCCTGCCTCAAAAAAAAAAAAAAAAAAAATGCTGGCTTTCCTCCCCTTTAGAGGATTCTCCAAGGCCAGGGTATCTGTGTGGCAAAAATCTTGCCTCCTAAAATGCTTGAAAACCAATGAATAGTTAGTCAAACTGCAACATTGCCAGCGTCCTCCCCTGCCGACTCCTGCTTTCTGGCAAGGCCTACCTGGTTGACTTCTTTCTGGGCAGGTGTGATGGCAGGCAGCAGATGGCCGAGTTATTTTTAGCAACCTGCAGAGGATGACGTATGTGACTCCCAAGGCCACATACCTGGACCCGTGCTTATCAGACATATGTGCACAGATTCAGGGTGCAGTGAAGAAGAAACTTCAGTAGGATGATGTCAGGAAAGCCCTCTTCCTGGGCCAGACAAAGCCTTAGCCGGACACAGAGGTTGAGGTCCCAGACTTTGGAAGTTGGTTTCTGAAGGTGCCACCTTCTCACATGGCTCTGTGGCTTCACATGTGCCGTCTCCCCCTACACTGCGTGTTCTTACATCCTGATTGGTGATTTCCTACCAATCTTCTCAAACCTTTTCCTGATACCTTCAGGCAGAATTCAACACCTCATATGGGCTGTCATGTCACCTTTGTCACAGTTGTTAACACAGACTACTGCAATCATTTGCTTTTTTTTTTTTGAGGTGGGAGTCTCACTCTGTCGCCCAGTCTGGAGTGCAGTTGTGGGATCTCGGCTCACTGCAAGCTCTGTCTCCCCGGTTCACACCATTCTCCTGCCTCAGCCTCCCGAGTAGCTGGGACTACAGGCGCCTGTCACCATGCCCGGCTAATTTTTTTCTATTTTTAGTAGAGACGAGGTTTCACCATGTTAGCCAGGATGGTCTCGATCTCTTGACCTCGTGATCTACCAGTCTCAGTCTTCCAAAGTGCTGAGATGACAGGGGTGAGCCACTGTGCCACGCCGATCATCTACTTCTTAAACCAAACTGAGACCTTGCTGGGGCCAGGGGCCGTGCCTCATTCGTGTGTGTAGTGCCAGGACGTTGCACAGTACTTGGTAGATGGTGGGTGTTGATGAATGAATGCATTACATAAATTTGTCAATTTTGTGACATCTTTTCCTTTCTCTCAGCCCCCAGAAAGTGCTCTACGATTTTGCATTAATTTCTTTTTAAGTGAAAATGAATTTGAACTTCTTTTGTTTCAAGAATTTCACAGCCACCCACTGAAGCCGCTGGAGATCTGAGGAATCCCAGAGACAAGAATGGGAATCTCTCCCTTACCCTCAGGTTAGGAGATGATTGTCCCAGACTTCTGTGTGGTTAGCAGGATTGGGGTAACCCAAGGTGGGTGTTTGGGCTCAGAAAACAATACCCCCCCAAAATGAAGGCCTCAGAAGCAAAACTTTTCCTCTGGCCCTCTCCTGTCCCCCTGGCTCTGCCTCTCATTCTCCCCTGAGGCTGGCCAGAGAAACTAGAATCCCTCTTTTCCATGGCGGATCATAGAAACTGGAACCCATTTTCCCCAAAGCCAGCCATAAAACCTAAAAATGTTACTTTAATGTCCCCTCTGCTTTTCTGTGTAAAAACTCACCATGAAAAATTATCTGATCGAGCTTGTTTGACAGCAGGGCAGAAGATCTCCTTTCCAGAGAAGGTCCTGCCCCACACCCAGAAGGAAGTGCTGCTCAGAGAGGCCAAGAAGATTCTAGACAGATAGGCTTTGCTGGGTGTCCCCAGTCAGTCCATCAGGATGGACTTTTTGTCCAATCATATTTCTACATGGCTGTCCATACTTCGTTGAACTTAAGCATAAAAGTGGACAATATCCCCTGTATCTTTGGGTCTTCATTCTGAAGGCTCCCTATACACGTTAAATAAATTTACATGTCTTTTTTCCAATTGATCTCCCTTTTGTGAGTTGATTTTTCAGAGAACCTTCAGAAGGCCAAGGGTTTCCCTTGGCCCCTAGGTGGGGGTAACCCAAACAACATGTGTCAGCTGAGCGCTGGGCCTGACCTGCCCTTGACGGAAGTGCCTGTCTTGGATTGACCGTTGGACCTGCCCTGGACGGAAGTGTCTGCCCTGGATTGGCTGCTGGACTTGCCCTTGACAGAAGTGCCTGCCCTTGATTGGCTGCTGTGGGCTGGCTGGGCTGGGGCTTCCACAGAAGAGCTGCCTTCTTGAAGGGTTAAAGCACCAGCTCTAGGAAATCAGGGTCAACCCGGGATCTCCCATTAGGATTCAAGTGATGGTCTAACCTGCTGTGCCTCCTCCATCATGGGCTCGATGAACACTGACTGGATTTGTGCCGGCATGGTGGCTCACGCCTGTAACCCCAGCGCTTTGGGAGGCCGAGGTGGGCGGATCAGGAGGTCAGGAGATTGAGACCACGGTGAAACCCTGTCTCTACTAAAAATACAAAAAATTAGCTGGGCACGGCGGCGGGTGCCTGTAGTCCCAGCCACTCAGGAGGCTGAGGCAGGAGAATGGCGTGAACCCAGGAGGCGGAGCTTGCAGTGAGCTGAGATTGCGCCACTACACTCCAGCCTGGGTGACAGAGCAAGACTAGGTTTCAAAAAAAAAAAAAAAGAACACTGACTAGATTTGAATGCCCAAAAGTCTGAGACTGGCTCTTTTTCCCTCAGGGACCTCATGGGGAGGCCCTATCAGTGTCCAGCAAATCAAAGTAGAGTGACTGGCGGTAGCCCTCAGCTGTGTTTGGAGGCCTTCACTCTGGACTGGTGTGGCATTTCTGTTCTGGTTGCTAGCTAGTCGGTCATCCTATGGATCGAAGATAGACTGACTTGGTCTTCATTGCCTCTTGGGGAGAGGGGTGGTCAGGATTTTCTGGAGTTAGAGTTTTAAAGATGCCCCAGGGAAGATGCCTGGAGAAACAGTTGTCAGAGGCGTGCAAACCAGAGCAACTCCATCTTGAATAGGAGCTGGGTAAAATGAGGCTGAGACCTACTGGGCTGGATTCCCAGATGGTTAAGGCATTCTAAGTCACAGGATGAGATAGAAGATCAGCACAAGATACAGGTCATAAAGACCTTGCTGATAAAACAGATTGCAGTAAGGAAGCCAGCCAAAACCCACCAAAACCAAGATGGCGACGAGTGTGACCTCTGGTCATCCTCACCGCTACACTCCCTCCCACCAGTGCCATGACAGTTTACAGATGCCATGGCAATATCAATTTACCCTATATGGTCTAAAAAGGAGAGGCATGAATAATCCACCCCTTATTTAGCATATCATCAAGAAATAACCATAAAAATGGGCAACTGACAGCCCTCAGGGCTACTCTATCTATGGAGTAGGCATTCTTTTATTCTTCTGCTTTCTTTTATTTTTTTATTTTGAGACGGGGTTTTGCTCTTGTTTCCCAGGCTGGAGTGCAAAGGCACGATCTCAGCTCACTGCAACCTCTGCCTCCTGGGTTCAAGTGATTCTCCTGCCTCAGCCTCCGGAGTAGCTGGGATTACGGGCATGTGTCACCACGCCTGGCTAAGTTTTTGTATTTTGAGTAGAGATGGGGTTTCTCCATATTGGTCAGGCTGGTCTCAAACCCCTGACCTCTGGTGATCCGCCCGCCTCGGCCTCCCAAAGTGCTGGGATTACAGGCATGAGCCACCGCACCTGGCCCTATTCTTTTACTTTCTTAATAAATCTGCTTTCACTTTACTCTATGGATTTGCCCTGAATTCTTTCTTGTGCGAGATCCAATAACCCTCTCTTGGGGTCTGGATCGGGACCGCTTTCCTGTAATACACTGACCATTTTAAGGAGAGGGCATGCAGATTACAAGTATGGGAAGAAAAATAAGAACTCAGCCCTAACCTAGACTCTGAAGGAGGCTCCTTGTGACGGTCTTGGAGCCTGATTTTGCAGAGCCTGGTTCTCACTAGGGCACTACCACCTGGGGCATGGGGACGTACCTGAAGTACTATCCTTGGATTTTCCTCATTGCATCAACAAACTGTTATACCAGAAGCTCTGAGAACATGTTACTTCAGAGGTTGAAATTATAGACTCATAGCAGTCAAATCGGCTATTTGCAGTAATAACTATTCTAGTGTGGTTGGAAAAGCCTAGTAAATGTTGCCCTTGTTTGAAATCTTCCCCTGATCCCCACCCTGCCACCTCCCCAGTGCTGAACAGGTTGGGAGGCAGAGTGACTATTTTCTGTTTGTTTGTGTTTCAGAGTCAAGCTGTCTGGAACTACTGTCTGGAAGAGCATCTTCCCCATCCCAGCAACTGTACCCCTCAATCAGGAACTGTTACTGAACCCAGGGCTGCCTGGATAAACATTTATAAGACCCAGAGGGATCATTAGTGGAGGGTAGAGGATGTCTTTGCTTGAACGTCCGACAGTCACCATAAGTCCAAAACTGAATTCACCCTTTGCCCTTTAACTCATAGAAATTCAAATGAGGCAAGGGTGAGGAGAGAGAACAACTTAAACCAGTGGTTCTCAACCTTGTCTGCACCTTAGAATTCAGATACCTAGGCTGTTCTCTAGAAGGATGGAATCAGAATCTCTGGGGGTGGAACCCAGGCATCTGTATTTTTCAAAGTTCCCCAGGTGATTCCAATGTGCAGCCAAGGTTGAGAATCATAGACTCAAACTTGCTTGGAGTTCCTGCTAGTCATTCTACCTATGGCTGAAAACCCTGGGGTGAAGGAGTGGAAGACCTGATTCTTCTATCTCTGTGGAGTTCCTTGTGTTTTTCCTGTAATGAGCATCTCTCCATGCTGAGTGTGATTTTTGGGGTTTAAGATCTGTATTTCAGCTGAGAGTAGTGGCATGCACCTATAACCCCAGCTGCTTAGGAGGCTGAGGCAGGAGGATTGCTTGAGCTCAGGAATTCAAGGCTGCAGTGAGATTATGCCACTGTATTCCATCCTGGGTGACAGAGCAAGACCCTGACTTAAAAAAAAAAATTCTGCATTTCACATATAACAAGTCCTTGGAACTTCATCTGATTCAACCAAACCTGTGATGATCTCTACTGTACATTATGGATAATTTAAGGGATTTTCAAGTGCAATGTTGGCCATATGAAATTTTGCTTTCATCCAAACTTTCTTTTTTTTTTTTTTTTTGAGACGGAGTCTCGCTCTGTCACCCAGGCTGGAGTGCAGTGGTGCGATCTCAGTTCACTGCAAGCTCCGCCTCTTGGGTTTACGCCATTCTCCTGCCTCAGCCTCCCGAGTAGCTGGGACTACAGGCGCCCGCCACCACGCCCGGCTAGTTTTTTGTATTTTTTAGTAGAGACGGGGTTTCACCGGGTTAGCCAGGATGGTCTCGATCTCCTGACCTCGTGATCCGCCCGTCTCGGCCTCCCAAAGTGCTGGGATTACAGGCTTGAGCCACCGCGCCCGGCCTTCATCCAAACTTTCAAGCCTAAGCCCTGCATGACAACCCTGCCTTCCTTTTTTCAGTGGACAGTTAGCCATTCCCCAGTGGCTCTGCTGGCAATCCAGGCAATTGTCACCCTCCTACATTCCCTCAGCTCCTACCTGGGTCCTCAGATCTTCCCAATCTTCCTCTATATTCTCTGCACGTGCTTCAGGTGAGTCCTTCATCTCGAATCTATTATCATAACCTCCTAACTGGCGCCCCTGTCCCCAGCCTCTTTCCCCTCCATTCCATCATCTGCCTGCCTTCTGGTGAACAAGGCAGATACAAATTGCCATGTAGTCCTCTGCTTACAATTCTTCAGAAGTTTGTGATTGCTTTCCCAAGGAAGTTGAAACTTCTTTTTTTTTTTTTTTTTTGAGACGGAGTTTCGTTCTTGTTGTCCAGGCTGGAGTGCAATGACGCGATCTCCGTTCCCTACAACCTCTGCCTCTCAGGTTCAAGAGATTCTCCTGCCTCAGGCTCCCAAATAGCTGGGATTATAGGCGCCCGCTACCATGCCCAGCTACTTTTTGTATTTTTAGTAGAGATGGGGTTTCACCATGTTGGCCAGGCTGGTCCCGAACTCCTGGTCTCAGGTGATCCACCCGCCTCGGCCTCCCAAAGTGCTGGGATTACAGGCGTGAGCCGCTGTGCCCGGCCAGGAGTTGAAACTTCTTGACATGACTTCCAGTGCTCTGATGGCCAAACACCTTTGCAGCCTCATCTCCCTTCACGTCCCGTTAAGGACCTACATTCCAACCACGTAGAAGGTGCTTTCCTTCAAGCCTTTGCTTATGTGCTCTCCTCCACTGGGTATGCCTTTCCTTTTCCTGGTGGGCTACTTCTTTTTTTAAAAAAGTTTTATTTATTTATTTTTAGAGACAGGGTCTTGCTCTGTCACCCAGGCTGGAATGTGGTGGTGTGATCATGTCTCACTGCAGCTTCAAACTCCTGGACTCAAGAGATCCTTCTGCCTTAGCCCCTGAGTAGCTGGGATTCCAACTACATACCACCATGCTCAGCTGATTTTTTTTTTTTTTTTTTTTTAAAGACAGGGTCTCTGTCTGTCACCTAGGGTGAAGTGCAGTGGCACAATCAGGGCTCACTGCAGCCTTGACCTTCCCAGTGCAGGTGATCCTCCCACCTCAGCCTCCCAAGTAGCTGGGACCACAGGTGTGTGCCACCATACCAGGCTATTTTTTGTTAGTTTTTGTAGAGACAGAGTTTCACCATGTTGCCCACACTGGTTTTGAACTTCTGGCTTCAAGTGATCCTCCTGCCTTGGCCTCCCAAAATGCTGGAATTGCAGGTGTAAGCTGCCATGCCTGGTCACTGGTTAGGCTACTTCTAACTTGTCTTTTTCTTTATAGCCAGTCTATGTGTCCCATCCTCCCCTTTCTCCAGGCTGCATCAGGTGCCTGCTGACCGTGCCCCTCCTCTGTGTGTGGCCAGA